TTATTTTACTTGTATGACTTGTGGATAGTCTGGTTTGCTCAAACCTAACTAATGCGATGGCGGGCAGGGAGTGCTATGATAAAAGTGATTCTCATTAGTCTATGATCACTGATAGGTGGAAATGGTTTTCCCGTACCATGAATATTTCCTTACTCTGAAGGGGGGGGAAGGAGGAGTCAATCCCAAAAGTATTCAAACTGAAGTCATTTTGATAATTTCAAAACGTTCTGGTTGATCGTGACTTTACAATTATTTTTTCAGGGAATTAGCTTAAATTTCTAAATGAAAATGTCAAAACGTTTCCAGTTTTGTAGCTTTTCATGTTGAAATTTGTTGAACCCTAATGCTGTTTTCACAAAGAACTTTGACTAATCAGGGACTTGTTTTTGGTGGGTTTTTTTTTTTTTTTTTTTTTTTTTTTTTTTTGGATGAAACAATTAATTGAAAAATTCCTGACCAACACTACTGCTGGGAGACTTTAAAAACTCATTGTTATGTCAATAGTAACTGAGTCAGTAACATCTTGAGGCTATTTGGTGGCCTGTCTGAGGGCAGCTGATGTTCAGTCTGGTTCTTGGTAGTTTTTGTGGCTTGCACATGGCTATCTTAATAATTAGAAGTGAGTGAATGAAAATCTTGCTCCTAGAAATGGCCTCTCCAGACAGAGGGGCAGAGTGCTTGCCTATGCTGAACCTTGTTCTGCAGAGACCCTGTGGTTTTTTGCAGTACAGAATATTTTATATGGAGTCTATACTGAAAGATTCTTGTTTTAAAGTGTCCTAATGGGATGATAATTCCATCATATTAAAGCACATTTTTGAAACCCTAAGGGCCATATCCTCCTCTGAGATCAAAGCTGATTTACACCAACTGAGGATCTTGGCCTAAGATTCACAACTGTTTCCTATTTAGCTCCATGAGCCTAAAAATGGGGTAATTGCTAAGGGATCTGTCAAATATTTTGCCCAGAAAGATAAACACATTGCCCTGTGCATACTAATGATCTTTCTTTAATGCAGTAACAGAGTCACAACAGAAACCAATTCACCAATAAATGCATAAAGTTACTTTATTTTCAGTACACATTTAATTTTGAAAAATATAAATGCTAAAATATCTCATCTTGTTCATCTCTTGATTCCATAAAAGTCACAATAGAAAGCTTCATAAAACTGTAAAATACTATAATGTTATAAGGAATTTCACGTTTTATATTACTGGAAAAAATCATTAATATATTGAAATGTTTTCTGCTTTTTTCCTTTTTGTTCCACCATCTTGATCTACTTCATTTTAAAATAAGTTTTTATTCTCTCCTCCAAAGCAAATACAGACTTAAGAGGATTCAAAATAATAGAAGTATCTGAAAGTGCGTGTTGATTCCAAAAATGTAATGAATACATATATGTATCAGCCATAGGAATGGCTACAAAGATGAGACAAAAAGAACAGGAGTACTTGTGGCACCTTAGAGACTAACAAATTTAACAAACAAAGATGAGACAGAGGGAGACAATCACCATTTTCACATTGTAGGTCTGGGACAAAGTTAGCTGTAAAGTTTCACTGGATAATATTACCCCTGAGTAGCAGAAGCTCATCTCATTAAGGGTGCTCATTGATTTCAGTGGACTTTGATTCAGCCCCTAAACGCACTCTCAAAACATAAATTTGGTGAGCCAAACTTCCCCCATCCAAACACCGCCACCATTTTTTGACATAATTGCTATTTATTGTCACAAGGCTGAAAGAGTGCAATGAAATGCTGTTTCATGAGACCCTAGATAGGCTGATGCTATCAAAGGGCCACTTTGCTGCATTTCACCTTTTGGAGCCAGCAGGTCTTTTTGTTTGTTTGTTTGTTTCAAACAAACAAAAACCTTTCAGTTTAGTGCTCTGTTGTGAAAAATCCCAGGCTTCTGCCACAAAGGAATTAAAATGTGTATAGATGAGAAAAATACCAATCTTTGATTATTATTTTTTTGTCCCATCCCTAAACAGTGTCACCCTCTGTACAAGAGCTCAATCTGTTAAAGCAAAGAAGACGACAGAAATCAGCAGTCAATACATTTCAAGTACATTTAACATGGTTCAAAAGTGGAAGACCTCATTTTCTGGAGATTGATCACCAGGTAATAGCAAATGTAAAGATTTGCTCTGTTGTGTGTGGGGGGGCGGGAGGGTGCATTGTAAGCTGTAAGCAGTTCTTATTCTCTCTTCCTTCAGTGCTTTTCTTAAAAAAAAAATCTGCTGTTGTCCAACACGAATTAATTTATTTCAGTCCTTCCTCAGCAAGCACATGTGGGTTTCTCTAAACCAAACTCAGAGGGTCCGAGCAGAAGAGAACAAAATCCTACACTCGCATACTTTGTACATGGTACTTGGCTCTGTTGTTTCACATTATAGTGGGTTGTGATTTTTATAGAGGAATGAAAAGTGTTTTATGTTTTAAATTAACATAGCACATCCAGATACACAGCACAACCCTAAGTATCCATCCTCCAGTTGGCCAGCTCTGTTAGCTGAAGGCAATACACACTCCCTTCCGGAAGGTTTCAGCTGTCATTTAGGAGAATCAGGGTTGGACTGTTTATTGGATGCTAATCTGCCAAGGAAGAAAGGCTGCATTTCCGTCCCTTTGTCACTGTCACCAATTTTCATAACTTTCCAAGTGACAGCTAATTACTCTTTATTTTGTCCCTCTAAAGCAGAACTAACTTTTTGGACTGACCATGGGCTGGACCTTAGATCGCCTGCTTTGGAAGGGGAGGGTGTATATTTGTTTTTTAAATGCTGATGTAAGGTGGGATGCTGAATTTGGCATTTAAAAAAAAAAAGTATTTACCACCCTTTCCCCAACTTCTAATGTGCAATGTTGTTGCTAAACATGATACACGGGTGTGTTATAGGTGTAGCTCGTAAATAATACCAGTGACAGTCGGAGAATAATGGGCTGGTTTCTGGATGGGTGCAGACTGGTGTAGCGTCAACAGGGCAATGCCAGTTATACCTGCCCAACAGCCCTAATAAGGTCAGGCTGCAATTATTATGGTCCATATTTCTGCTGTCTTTTAATACAGCATTTTATTTAAAAATAACATTTCCAGAGACTGCTGTAGCACATTTGGACGAAGAAAAAAAACCCCTCTACACTATTCTGTGCCTGTTAGTGATGGGAGGCTAAAATGTGGCATAGCGGGTCTCAGTACTCTCATGACACTTATGTTTTTAGTTGAAGATGGTCTGTGTTCTTTTCATTACAGCTTTGCAGGCCATTAATCCTCTTGCAGCAGTTTCATTTCCCCTGAGGCATCAAGTACAAAGTGTTAGAAAGTAGCTTGTGGGGGGGCACAGGTTTTTTTTTTTTTAAATGCACATGGTATCAAATATTAGGCCAGCCCCTTAAAGCTACTAGGAGTAAACCCAGCCTGTGGCAAGACTCCCATTGATTTCAACAGGAGCAGCTGCGTGCTACCATACTTCTGACACCCCTCTGAGGTGCGGCTACTATCAATGGCTAGGGGCCAGACTGTTCTCTTCACTTTCGTTCACAGACACAGTAGATCTGGCAGAGGGGCAAATAAAAGTGGAGTGCCAATCCCTGGGTTTCTTGACCCTATAAAAGTCTCTGCCCGAAACAGTGCTATCTCGTGCCCAGTCTCCTCTCCAAATGCTGCGGAGAAACAGGTGGTAAGATGCTGTCGACAGGGTCAGCATTTCCTGACTGTTCCTCAAGAGAAGAGGGGTTTGGAGGTAAAAACCAGCTGGGAAGGCCTGAGCATCTGGGCTCTTCTAGCACCCTTGTTGGTAGGGTGGGTGAAGGGGCTGGAAAGATTTGCATGGGGCCCTTGAAGGAACAATGGAGTGGAAATTGGAGCAGACCCCTAGCTGAGTAGCAACTAAGAGTCCCCCAGGGAGGATAAACGATGCCTTGACTTTGTGCTACATTTAATGCACATCCAGAGCATACTGTGTGTACAATGGAACCTTGTCAGACAGTCACATGGATAAATTTCAGTGTAATGCCCAATTTTCAAAATGGTTTGGTATGTTTATTTTTTTAAAGTATATACAAGAGAGGATAAAAAAAATCTCAAAGTGACATTTGCCTGCTTTGTTTAGAAGCAAAGTAATGTGGATATTTTATCCATTTAAAAAGATGCATTCTAAATGGTATCTTTGTCATGGTGGATTCTAAGTTCTATACACAATGGTGAATGGATCTGGGGGAGTACAGTACATTTATCTGCATTCAGAGTGTAGACTTTCATGACTGATTGGTGGCTTTCCTAAGTAGGAAATGTTATGGATGTATATATCCGGATAAGTAAGATTAAAAACGATCTTCCTCTTAACCATATGATCATGGTGTCCACGCTGTATTACATGCAAATGTGTACAGCCACACACGTCTGTACATGAAATAATTCTAACTGTACTGTATTGGAAAGCAACAAAATTAATACAATCAGCATCTGTCCACTGACACTACCAGTCAGTACATCAGTTATTGCCATTAAATGCAAGTCTCTTCCTAAACCACACAAGAGTTAACCTACATCCTGTCACCTTCATGTACAGCTAGAGTCTTTAAAAACAAACCGAGGCTTCAGAGGGAAGGTATTATTAAAACTGATCCAGCCCTATGCCATGACTTGGAGATTGTGTAATTTTGGTAAAAATCACATTATATATCGTACAATACATTTTTACAGCAAGCCTGGCATCTAGCAATAAGAGGTAGAACTACTCCAAACTATACGTTTCCTGCTGCAGGAAAAATTCATTTTTCTTTACAGTAATTAAAAAAAAGTTTAAAAAATTGACAAAAAAGTTGCAGGTTAGGCCCCATAATTTAAACAAAATAATCTAGGAAAATAACACTCTTCAGTGTACCTGACAGATAAATCCATTAAAGTGTTTTAAAAAAAAAGTTGCATAGGAAAGGGACATTTCAGAACACAAGCTACAACGCTGGCAATAGTTGGTCTGTGCTGGGAGTGAAGTACCTTTAAGTTTTCCTTCTCTTGACACTACAAGTATAGACTTTAAGAGCAAGTTAGTATAGCAGCACTTTCCAGTAGTGTAGTAAAGACATTGAATTAGCCTGGAGGTCAGTTTTGTTCTGCCAGACAGAAAAAAGAAAAACAAACACTGATTCACAACTAAGGTAATGTCAGTTCCTCTGACATTTCACAACGGTATTTATAATATATCCTTAATACTTCTGCCCTCTGCTTAAAAAATATGAGAGATGCGTGTGTGTCTGAGTGACAGAAGGCAAAAACGAATGTTGGTGAGTGGAAAAACTGGGTGAGAAAGGTAGAGGGAAGGTACAGTGTGTCTCAGATTTACCTATGCGGCAGGGAAGCAGAGAGCATTTTAATATTTGGCTGGTGACAAAAAAAACGTTCAGTATAAGTTTAACAAACAAAAAAAAGTTACAAAGTAGTTTCTGTTCCCCTGCTCCTCCAGAAATAACCATTGTCTTCAGGCTCAAGTTCTATTCTAATTTGAGGCACAACTTTCACTGGAGTTCGTGGAGGGCTGAATGCAAAAAGAAAACAAGGTAAAACATATGGACTGAATTTATGTTTCTAGTGCATTTTGAAAGGATCAAGTGATTTCTCCCCAACTCCTTCATTACAAAATACCAATTCTGACTTACCAGTGCATGCAACTATTGACAAGTCACATGAAAATAAAGTGCATTCACTATGTTTTAACATGAGGGAATCTTAACATTTTACTTCTTACTGGCCAAATAATGCTTGTTAGTCTAAGAGATGATGGTATATCTAGAAATGGGATGACTAGTCAAGTCTCACTCAATTCATACATAAATAATAGAGTATTCAGGATTTTAGTCCTATGTATATTAAAACAGCCCAAATATTCAGTGGTGGCTGCGGTCTGTGGTATCTATTCCTAATACAATCCTACATGCCTTTATAAATCCAACTTCGGGGCTTAATCCTGCAAGAAGCTAACAATTCTCCTGCACTGAATAATTACAGATATGTATATTTTATTTCATTACACCTGAGATCCATCATGTCATGCACTCAAAATAAAAAGCTGCTGCTTTTTGTTTTAACATGAAGAGATCACTTGCTAATCTTTGGGAATTCTTGGACAAAATCTCTCTGGCTGTTTGAGTAGTAAATTCAATAGTCTGACTCTCCCACCAGCAGCACTGCAAGGCCATGTCAGTGCTAGGCTCAGAACCTACTGAAACATGCTACTGCAGCCATGTTTAAACAGGGTGATAGGTAAAAGGGTTTTTATCACAGTTCCCACTCCAGTGGGGACGGGATTTTTTTTTTCATTGTGGAAACCTGTTTGTGGCCCTAGTTTGGCCAGGTACATAAGCACTTACTCCTTAAACTGCAGCATGTGTGTAAGTACCTGGCTGAATTGGGGCATATGAAACTCATGTTACAGACTATTACTTAATAGGCTATCCCACAATCTGCTGCTACTCGAGGGGCCAAAGTCTGGGTTCTGCGCTCATAGCACCTGTGTAAAGTGCTTGTGACCACCTCACCCCCTGAAAACCAATCCTGGAGAAACCTCACTACAGCAGGTTGCTCCATTGCTAGTGAAGGTGTTTGGGAGGGAGGAATGTTAGGCAGTACTGCTTGGGACTCAGAGAGCCACCACCCTCCTCCTGTTCTGGAGAATGCTCTCAAACATACGAAGGAGGGGCATCACCATCTCCTGAATGTCTGGTCCTAGTAGGCATGCGCACCCATGCAGATAGATGCAGTTAAACAACAGCAAGTATCTCAACTTTCTTATACTGTGGCCCGGCATAATTCCTTACAGGTACACACAGTCTGTCTTGATACACAATTAAAGAAAATCCTATCTGTCAATGAGACGACTTTGCTTTTGTGGCAGCAATTGTTTCAGGGTAATAACAAGTTCCTCAAGGTCCCTCTGCTAAGTTATAACTCAGCTTTTATTATTTGTGTGTCCTGATACAATTAAGTCAATGGCAAAATTCCCATTAACTTCAATGGGAACTGGATTGAACCCCATACAGATGATTTTTTTTTTTTTTGCCCCACTGCAAAGCGAGCCTCCCTTTCAGCCTGGACCTATCATATACCTCATGAGAGCCACACCTCCATTGTATTTACTGAACATACAATACATCTCATGAGACTGTGCTGTGGAAGCTCCTACCTTGGCATAGTGTGTGACTGAAGGAAAGGAATTTTATCAGCACGATGTATGGCGTTCAAGGAATGTTGGTGATTTTTCTCCTGTTTAAGAAAAAACAAAGTCGTTTGTCACAGCATTCAGCCATTAAAAATATAAAGTTCCCCTCTAGCAAGTCCCCAAATATTTAACCATGGAATTTCACAGATTCCGAAAAAGATGGAAGACATCAACAGAATCAAGCTGAGACAGTCAATTGAAGGGAAAAACCTCTGCCATCAGTGTGACACAAAATGCTAATTTTCAAACGTCGTCACTTTGCATGCACAGAGGCAAGTTTTTGGTTGCAGTTTAAAAGGTAGATACCCATGCACCCACCACTACATGCATATTTCATTGGCCCAGCACTGTTTGAAACTTCACCTCTAATGTTCTGACCAACCAAACATAGCATGAAAACTCACTCCATACTTAACTGGAGGGTGGTGTAATTAGGGCTGCAAAATTCAATTTAAAATTTTTTCCAACTTTTATTGATTTAAATTTGTGGAAAATTATGGGAGGGTCAGAATAATTTAATGATAGCAAACGCGAAGATGAAAAAAATTTAAGCTTTATAACTGTTAAGACACAAGTTGTCAACACCCCCTGTCAAAATATACAGAGTAAATATCCTTAAATCAAACTCTAAGTTCTCAAGCAGCATGTTTCTTACATCACCTAGCTGCACATTTCAATTATCAACGGAAATAATTTTTTGTTGGTTTGTGTGTGTACGGTGAAAACTGATGTTTACCAACATGTACTGATAAACATCTAATCCTTCCATCCTACTGGATGAATTAAATATTTGTAAACTGCTGTGAACATGCTGCAGAAGTATTATTTGTATTATGCTTTCGAACAAAGCCTTTCGCAGGATGATACCACAGTGTAGACAGATTCCAGCTACTCTCTCAAGAGCAAGAAAATCCTCCATTATAATTTTTGCCTTGCCAATAAATAAAAAAAAGAGTCAATTTTATTTTTCAAAATGTAAAAATACATCTAAAATATTTATTCAAGTCACTCAACGTTTTAGCAATTCACCACTCTGAGTGGGAAGTGCTCTGATAATTTGGTTTGTTATGAAGATCTCAACAGATCCTGAACTATAGTAATACAGCATTATGCTAGTGAGAGATTACATTATTTTTACATGCACAGACATTGCAGAGGGGTCAAAGTGGGATCATTAGGCTGAGCGCCATGATAAGCCACCCTCCTGTAATTCTGTGCAGTTCACCATATTGGGTGATTTATTTTTCTGGTATATCTGATCAGCGGGGAGGCTGAATCAGATTTTACATCTACAGTACTGGGGCAATGTCAAAATAAAAATCATATTTGAAAAATGCTTTTGCCTGTCACATTAACAACACTTTAAATTATTCAAATGGAGTAAGTTGTGAAACTCTAATTTTAGCATTTCAGGCCATTTGATCAGTGAAACAAGAATTGTCTGCATCACTTTTTGGTTCTCACAATCACAATAAGGCTGTTGTATCAATTTCTATACATATCAGGTTTCTCTGTCTCTTTAACGCACACACACACTATTATAGATACAATTTTCAAAAGCACCTACATCTCATTGGTTACAATCAATGGGCCAATTTAAGATTGTAGTGTAGACAAAGCCTAAGTCACTTGCGCACTTTTTAAAATTATACCCTCTGGGCCTAAACATTGACGGAATTCCTTTAAACAAAGAGGAAATTGGATAGCTATGAAATTTCAAATTGCAGTACAACGCAGCCATAAGCTTTCATCAACAGAGAACATAAATAAAGCCAAAGATAATTCACTATTTGACCCTTAAAGGCTCATTGCCAGCACCTCAATAATTGTTTTAATACAATAATTTGTGTTTACCCTCCAATTCCATTATTCCCAAACAGCATTTTCCTCTGCTGCTTGTCATTTTAAAAAGCTGACACAGACCCCCTGAGAACTCATGGCAATTAATCTGAAATTCCAGGCTTATTAAACAAATTATAACACTAGAAAATGCAAATGGCTATAAACAAAATTTAAAAATGGGGAAAAAAATATAATCAATTGTGGATATTCGAATAAAAAAACCAAAAGAGAAGGAACAGATGCAATACAAATGCAAGTCACCTAAGAAGGCAAATATGTTAATGCTGCATGGTTTAAATGATCACCGCCTTGTCAATTAAATGATTTAAGGAGATCAATGACAGGCCTAATTTGTTAAGTGCTGATTTTTGTGATTGTTTGGAACCTAAGGAAACAAAACAGTAATGGACAGTGGTGCTGTTTCTACCCGCTGCAATCCAGAACATTAACAGCAAGGGAGAGAAACCAAGTAGATACCACACCAAGACACACACACACACACACAAAAACAACAACAGCCAGAAATGGACTGGATGATTTAGAGGGTTAGAGAGAGAGAGAGCTAGCGAGAGACCTGTTAGTAGCTGTGTAGAGGCAGTTAAGGTGGCGGCACCAAGAAGGATAACACAAAACTTGTAAAAAGAAAAAGAAAAAAACAAACCTCCCCCAAAAAACTAGAGGCCTGGAAATTGTTTTAAAAAGGAAAAGAGAAAACTTCTAAGGGATAGGACAGATCTTTGGTTTTTTTAATTCAATCTCTGTGTGCGTATATACGTGTGTGTATCTTTTTGGCAGTGCAAGACACACTCAAGCAGGCATGCAAGAGGTTAGTTCTACTCACTGTCGGAAGGTTTGCTATCACTTAGGAAAGGTTCCTGTTCCATGATGTCCATTGGAATTTTAATACTTGGGACATTTTCTGAGTAGGGGCAGTCGGACTGTGAAAGAAACGTGCAAAAGGTCTTAGAACATTGCCACTGCTCTCTCTCTCTTAGTGTCCCCCACATATTAAATCCATCCTTCACAGCGCCACTGGCGGAGAGGAGTGAGAAAGGGAAAAAGGGATCGTCCACCTCAGTCGTTTCCATGCGCTCAGTGGCCCCGTCACACCACACTTTCCCTTCCCTTACTACAAAAGCAAGACAGATTAAAGACCACGCAGTGGAGCTTTTCACCTTCTGTCACGCCCCTTGTCCCCAATTTATAAAACTCTGCCCTGTGTCCAGCTCAAAGATGCCAGAGGGGCAACTGCCCCAAGCTGAATGGAAAATACAGATGCATGCTGCATTCTCAGTGAGAAATCACACAGGACTGAGGCATGTGAAAACCCATCAGAAGTATCCCTCTGCTGCCATTTCTTTCTGAAATGCCTCAGGTATGTTTCTTTTCCTCTGAAGTTGCTCTAACTGAGCTGGGCAGAGTCCCATAGCATCCCCTGTCAGGTGGGTTTTCTTATCCGTGCCCCCCCCCTTCAAAAAAATGACCAGTCCCAATTCAAATTCAAGTTACATTTAATTTAGTTCCCTACTTCCACACTCCATTTAAGAGCTTTTATAATCCAGGAGAAGCATGACTAAGCAGCTAGCACCATCACACAGCACTCTGAGGTATTTTCAATGCAGAGAGGGGTTGCCAGTTCTTTAGCAAGTGAGTCCCACATGTTTTCTCCCTGAGGGTCCTCTCTTGACTTTAAGGGACTTTGGCTCAGACCCGTAGCAGCTGATAAACACCATGTTCCAGGAATAGTGTACCAACAGGAAGGGTTAGACTCTATTAATTTGGATTGCCATTCAAGGAAACACTTAAGCACATGCTTAAGTCCCATTGACTTCAGTGGAACTTAAAGAACACGCTTAAAAGTTAAAAGCCTTGGTTACCCATTTAAATAAAAACACTTTCTCATAACCGAGGAAGGGCATACCAGCACTTGGGAAAGCAATTAATATTAAGTTGCACTTTGCTAGAAATGTTTAGACATTGTTCCTGAAAAGATTGTTCCTGATCTAAACATAGTGGTCCAAATTTTGTTTTTATTTATTTATTTATTTATTTGGAGTTACTAGTAATTTTTGGGAGCCCAATTTGAAACACTTTCACGAGGTCTGATGTTCAGAACATGCTCCGCTTCTGGCACTCCTTGAAGGTGTCTCATGATGGGCACCCATGTAGGCTAGGGAACCAGGGATGGGATACCTGCATGTGCTTCTGAGCTGTTCTCGCCTCTGCACCTAATTGCTAACAAATCCTTACTTAGAACTCAACAGGTCTTGCCTCGTTCATTCTCTCTAAGGCCATGTATATTCTATATGCCCTAAAATGTCATCTTTGGACACGTGTTCACTGATACATTATACCCAACCTGCTTTGTGCCATCTCCCGAGGGCAGGTTTAGAGAATAAAAGAAAAAAATATACCACCACGTACTATCTGCAGGAATCCTGTTGCAATGAGTGCTGAAAAAATGTCCTAAGAAATGTTAACTAAAGGGAATGTTATGTAAGCCAGCCTCTCATACAACCAAATACTGTAAATGTCAGTAACTAGATATCCTGAGTAGATACACAACAGTCACAACCACCCTGCACTCAGGCGTATTGCTATAATCATTGAAAGTGTTAGAAATCAATCCAGTAATTTCCTTTTACTCATGCACAATGTGTCTTAGCTCCAGTGATGTCCATGGAATGTTGCTGGGCCTGGGGGCAATGTAGGACGTTCTGGGAATATTATAATAAGCTGTCTGACATGGGCTGGTCCAATGGATCAGCTGATTATGGAGCCCAGAAGCAGCTTTGAAACTTGCATCCTATGGGCTGACTGGTGGGATAATAGGGTGCCCTGTAAAAGTACCTGCATGGAATTTCTAGGTTGAATGTGCAATTTGTGCTATTTTTTCACCTCTTTCTTCTCCTAGGAGGAGTGGCAGCATTCCTCTTCAGGGGAGCATCCTTCCTCTCCCAGCCACAGGAGTCAGGTTCTTCATGGAGCAGAGGAAGAAGTAACCCCACTAACACTAGCTCAAACTCTCTGCATCATTGTACTTTAATAGTTAAAGCCCCATTGTCCTTTCCCATTGTCATTCAGCTGGGGGTAAAGAGAGCCAACTCCCCAAGAGAAAGAGGGTGATTTAATAGACAGGTGACCTCAAATTGAGCCTTGGTAGGAAAATGCTTTAAAGGCACAAGGGCAATATTTTTGTTTAAGTGCATATGGAACAAACAAACAAAAAAACAATTGAAGTATTCTAAGGCACATGGATCAGTCACAGCGCTTAAGAGCAACATTAGCAGCTATGCTTCATTATTTTAATGCACACGACAATCAGAGATTAGAGCTCCGAGTAAATCACACTCTAGACAGCCACTTATCCTCTCTCAATTTTCAAGCCAGGATTACCAGCCACAAATAAAAGACCTTGCAGAATGTGACTAAGCAAGTCACATCTTTGTGCGCTTTTAAAAATTAAATGAATGAATTAATTAAAGAGCCGTGGAATACTCCAAACAAGTGTATTATTTTCGCTGGTAGTGGAGCTGGTTGCCCAGAGCTCTTACATCCTAAAGAGCAAAACAAAAAACAAAAGTGAAAGAGAGTCAGGGCGTACACAGACTAGGGGAAGAGAGAGCACTCAGAACATATAACATTTCAATAGACACGGAGTAGAGTATGCTTGTGAAAACGGGACTCTTAGTTCTCGGAAATGAAAGTTCCGCCAGCGGAGGTTAGGGACATCTGAAAGATGACAAGCTCAGGGCCAGGTGCCTGCAGTGGGTAAAGATCATGCTGAGTCTGAGTCAAACTAGGCAGGGAGGAGGGAGTGCACCTAGGGACACCCAGTATTAGCTAGCTAGAGGTTATTACTTTACGATGGCAGGAAGCTCCTTACATCGTCATTGTCACTATCCAGACTGCCCTTCTTTTTCTTCTTCTTCTTCTCATCCTCTTTCTTCTTCTTGTCCTTTTCTGGAATGACGTCGTCAAGGAAACTGAGGTCATGCTGGGAGAAGAGGTAGTCCATGGCTTTTCTGACTGCCACAAGCGCCAGGATCTGGTGGGACAGAAATTCAGCATTCCCTTATTTAAATGTTACCATTCCCCTAACTCACTGAGGACATTATCTTTACTCAGGAATACTGGCTTTACCCTGTGTATTCAATCTGACACTGTTCTTCACAAATGCCTCAGTCCTGTCTGCAAATTAACACGTCTGAAATCTGATAGGCTACTGCAATAGCTCACGTCAGGTTGGACATCTAAACCCTGTAGCTGATTTGGACTCCAGGTTTCAATGTCTTAGGTGACCACAAGTCAGAGTAAACAGGAATAATATACAGGGTTACACTATAACCTGTCACAGGTAAGTTACAATTCTACCCTGAAAAATGACTTTGGAAAACATGGCATTGAGTGGTTCCATGGTTACTGTTTCCCAGTTATTTCTGTATTAAAAGGTGCTTGGGTTACAAGTAAACAGGATTGACTTCTCTAACTGCCAGTTCTTCTAACTTAACTTGGGAACTAAAAGTCTAGCTGGGTTCTTGCCTTCTTGTGAATCATCACCAGCAACTGAAGTTCTGCAGGCCAAGCCAGGCTCTCAGTTACCCCTGTGCAGCCCCACCGCGTTTCAGGGGTTTGCACAGGTGTAACAAACTGGGGATCTGTAACTGGAGTCCGTTCAGATCTCTGCTTATTGTGCACATGAGGAAGAGAATCCAGCTCAGTCTCTCTCAGATGCCTTTGCTAAATGTTTTTACTCCTGTTTTGTAAAGATATGGCTCTTAATATGCCAGCAGACCAGATATATTGATTTTAAAGGTATCTTTCTACATAGGAATGTTTCCACAGTGGAACCACGGTGAATTTTCTTAACTGCATCAGCTTTGTTCCTTCTAACAGCATCAACACAAGAGTAAATGCGTCCCATTATTTTTTTTCTCTGTTTCTCTCTCTCTCCCTTTTTTAGACAAACCATACATTGTACAACTACAGTTGGCTTTGACTCGCCTATTAACTAAGCCTGAAATAAGCTAAGTTTAGCCCCGGTTTCATGAGGAGCCATCCGGCATGAGCCTAGCTGAAATCTGAACTGTCTTTAAGCTGGAGGCTAGACTCTATGGAGTATACATTAATGGAGGTATTGTTTCGGTCACAGTAGGTTTGGAATGAAACCCTCACTTCCAAGCGTTCTAGTTATACCAAAGATAAAACACATAATAGAGAAGGGCCTGAGCTGTGCTGTTTGGTTTTGCAGCTAAGCTCTTCCAAGGATCATGTGTTTGTGTAGGTGTGTCTTCAGGTTTGGGGATTTGCTCTGACCCATTATAAAAGAGAACCTGCTGCAAAGTGTGCATTTGAATTCCCCCAAAGTGTGGGAGTGTTGGGGTTTCTGGTCTTGGTGCTACCAGGTGCACTAGGTTCTTTTCTATGAGTAAATACCATATAAAAGCCTTATACATTTACACAATGATATATTGGGTAAATAATTTGTCCTTCAACATTTACTCAACATTTTAGAGTGAATCTGATGTAATATTGAAAAATAAAAAACACTTCCCCAAAGATGGAAGGAGTAAATGAACCACTGTTAATTTTTTATGACACACAGTTCCAAGAAAAGCCGACTTCTCATTCCTGACTTAGCCAATTAACTTTCTCAATTTCCCCATCCTGAGTTACAGCAGCACACAAGCAAAGGACACTGAGGACAGCTCTGCCCTCAAATTCCTTCGCTTTTGTCAGTTTGTGTTATTCAGAAGCAGGGAAGAAGACTTCTGTGCAGTATTTAATGTGAACTATCAAGGGAAAACAATGCACTTCTTATATGTTGACATAGCTCAGAGGGAGGGTGTGGGAAATCTGACTGTGGCAGCAAAAATGGGTCAAAATTAATTGTGGTTTCCTGGAAAAAAAAATTAACTTTATGGACCCATTTCCCCCAAAAGGATTTGCGAAAAAGCAGCCACGAACACGAAGAGTAGAGGGCGCGGAGAGCATCCCCTTGTAATCTTGTATCAGTGTGATGGATGGACTGACAAAAGTTCTTTGCTAGGGGTCTACCAGCTTAGCGCTGTAATGTGTTTTGTGGGGTGCTTTAAGTAAAGGGAGCCTGAAATGAAGTAGAAACTGGACACACCACCTACCATGACTGGGAAGATTATAGCAGCCACAGTTGACTTGAGGATCCAGAGGAGGGCCAGACACACCACCTGCAGGAACGTGAACAGGTGGACCCGGCGCAGCGGGACGTGACGCAGATAAATGAAGTCAGGCTGATGTTTCAGAGGCATCAGAAGCAGCTTCAGACGATCCATGAACTGAGCGGGAGAGGGAAGAAAGAAAAAATTAAATGATACAATAGAGTAGCTGATACACAAAAAGGAGTGATAAAGCATTGTTGGCCCTTAATTGGTGACCTGCTCTTCCTGCAAAAACAACACCCACCCACACACCCTTGCCCCCCGTGGCTGAGTTCTTTCCCTCTTAAGTAACCTTTATTTTCTGCACAATGGGCAACATTTTAAAACCTGGGTGCCTAAAGTTAGGCTCTTCAATCCATATTTAGGCAGCTAAATAGAAGTTACTTGATTTTCAAAGGTGCTAAAAACCGGTAGCTCCCATGGATTTCACTGGGATTTGTGGTTGCCCAACACTTCTCAAAGTCAAGCCAGTTCCATTAAGGTGCCCAAATATGGATTTAGGTGCCTAACATTAGGCATCCGGGTTTGGAAATGTTGGACAGTGTGTAAAATGAGAGCCTAGGGCCAGATCCTTAGCTGGTGCAAAGGGTATAGTTCTGTAGGAGTGGCATTGATTGCCAGCAGCGGAGGACCTGACTCTGTCAAAAACAAAGCAGCCCGAGGAGCTGGTAAGAGGGGAAGTGCCTCTAGCCCTACTGGAAGAGACGGGTTGGAGCGAATCCCCAGCCAGGATTTCCTATCACTCAGAAGTTGTCCTTGGACAGCTGAAAAACAAACATTCTGTAGCACAAGGGCCACCTGGGCCAGAGCACTGAGAAATTCTGCTTGGAAGAACCAGGGGTAGTGAATATTACAATCGACTGCTTGTCCCTTGCCAGAGCACTGGCCTGATGCCTGCTTCTGGCTGATTCTGAAACCAGATTAATCTCAATCTAGGGGGTGAAAGGGCCATTTTTAAAAGGACTAAGTAAATTCTGAATGCATCCACAGAACATGTAGTCTTTTCCCATTAAAACTCTGCTAAGTGGAGAAGAAGTTTGCAATTAGCAGGTGATAGAAAGTAACAAAACCACTTCCAGCTTCCTAATGCCAATTAAAGCGGCTGCCCTGGGAGAAAGGCTCCCTTATGTAACATTTCCTCAGTGACAAAGAAAGGGGGCTCGACTTTGCTCAGTTATTCCCACCAGTTCATGCTGGAGAATAATACCACCTCAATAAATCCTGTTAATGCAAAGCAGCAGGCCCTGTTACAGGCCCAAGCCATCTAAGAAGCAGGACTATGGCAAGTGAACACGCACTGTTCTCAGTATTTTTATCAGGAAGGGGCCAGAGAGATGGTTTTAAATCACCCTCTGAGAACACACTTATAAGGTTACGATTGCTTCTTGTGGCAGTGACGCTGCTCGGAAGACCGGAACTTGGTGCTCTCCTGTGGAAAGGTTGCTTTTATTTGGTATCATCTACAAGACAATATTTGTGTGATAATATTTGTGAAGCCTTGGTAAGAGCCTTTGGAATGAAAATGAGGTGGAGGAGGGAAAGGGCAAGTAGTTAAAACAAGAGCAATGGTTAATGATTACCATCCTCTTGACAAGGTCCTTTAAAGAATCTACCCTTAAATATCAGAGTGGCTTTGGTTGCTATGGGAACTTACCTGCACTCCATTAAGGGAAGCAACACCCATGTATAGGAACACTCCATAGAGCACAGGCATAGGTATAAACTAGGGGAAGGAAAAGAACAGTGGAAAAACTACAGTGAATAACCTCAAACAATCATCTAGTTGGTACACAAAGAGTAACATAATTCATATCCTGTGCTAACCCTGAATTTCGTACGCACATGAGTAATGCCAAGTCATAGAAATTAGCAAGTTTTATATAGTATTTTAGTGAATGGGAGAGCACTTGTGTTGAAAATAAATAGCTAAAGGGCAGATGTAATTACATTGGGAGACAACAGGGCTCATACAACACAAAAATCTGCCCAACAGAGAAGGGAAGTGAAGCCAGCCCAACCAGGAGGCAGAGTCAGGGAGTGGGAAAACGTTCCAATAAGGTTAAAAGTTTTTTAAAAGTTGTAAAACGAGCCTGTGTCCCTGCACTTGTGGGTTTGAATAAAACTGGATGCAGAAATGCTGCCTCCCAAAAGGAAAGAGACTATATTCCCATCACATTGCCAGCCTCTGGAAAGACTAGAAATCTGCAAAGAAAGGTTGTTCTCATAAGAGTTCCAAACCAGAGATTAGATAATGTGAACCAAACCTCTTATTCTTTGTCCAATCCTTGACCCACGTTAATCCATAACTAGTCATGGGCTAACAACTGTGAGTCATCATCTCACTTGCCAAACCTGCCTTCCAAACACCACCACCACTTTGCACTCACATAAGTGGCAAGCCCAGCCCACCCTACACAACAGGCCCCTTTGCAGTGGAATGGGTAATGTTTAGGCTGGATGCTGGGGAGCCAGACAGGGAGTGGGTCCACCCTCTGCATCACACATAGCCTTGCTCCATGTGTGCTCCCTGCGTGGCTTAGAGGGGTCAATGCTAGAGGAGCCCCCACCTTTGTAGCTATCCCACTCCCTTCAATATAGGCTATTTCAACCCACCATGCATCTGCCAAGTACCCAGCCCAGCTACTTGGTCAGGATCTACCTTTAATCGAAAGGTCTCAAAGTGCTTTATAAATATTCATTGATTAGTACAAACCCAATACCCTTCCGAGGCAGGTGATACATAGGGATCACTTCACCCCCCATTGAACGCAATCTCCCTAGCATGGGACGGAAGCAGTTTCAAAGCACTGAACCACATTGCGGAACAGATGGCAGCACATGGGAAATTAATTTTTTTTTAAAATCTGGCACTCCAACTGCAGACAAAAAGCCTTTATCAGCAGCAAAATAACGGTGCAGGTTGCCAAAAATGAAAGAGTCCCTCAGCTGAGCAGCAAAGTTATTTGTAATAAACATGACATGTGGTTAATCAAAATATCAGACGATGGTCCAAATACAAGATTTGCTTAAAATCCTTAATATAATTTCTTTGACACCAAGCAAAAGAGCAGTTCCTGCATCAGTCACCCTGCGGTGAGAAAAGCAGTTAGTGTAATGACTCGCAACCACCACTGCAGGGCAGGCATTGCACGTCCAATGCCGCTCTGAACTAAGAGTACATTCCAGTTTTCTTTTGAGTGACATTTCTTTAACATCTTCGATGCACAACTTTTAAAGCAGGACAATAAAACGTTTTATTGTATTCCCACATTATTATTAACCCTTTCCTAGGTTATAAACACAGTGGCACACAAGTACTTCCTTAGGCCTTGATCCTGCAAACACTTAACTTTAAAAATAGAAGTAGTTGTGCTGACGTCAGTGGGACTAAAGTTAAGCATGTGCCTAAAAAGAACAGGAGTACTTGTGGCACCTTAGAGACTAACACATTTATTTGAGCATAAGCTTTCGTGGGCTACAGCCCACTTCTTCGAAAGCTTATGCTCAAATAAATGTGTTAGTCTCTAAGGTGCCACAAGTACTCCTGTTCTTTTTGCGGATACAGACTAACACGGCTACTACTCTGAAACCTGTCATGTGCCTAAAGTTAAGCATGCATAAGTTTGTGCAGGATCAAGGCTTTAATGAGGATGTGCTGTCCATTTCTCAACTGTGCCTCATTTCCCCACCAGCTTCTGCAAGTCTCTCTGCTGTACATTAATCCTTTGTTGTGGCTTTGTTTGCAGCACTTGCTTCACTGAATGTGATTGATTTATATTCATTATTAAAAGCTAAATGATTTTCCTGCAGCCTGCTTGCCGCAGCCTTCTGACAGCGCGCTGTAGGAATGGAAAAAAATGGATCACTTTGTGTTGTTTGCATTACTGTGGTGTCTGAGGGATAAGACGAGACAATGTCTCCTAAAGCAAGATGGGTCGAAAGTTTGTGGAGATCTTAGTTCAGCTCTGAAGTTTTTCTGTGCTGTTTCTCTCTCTCTCTCTCTCTCTTTTTTAAAATAAAAAGTACTTGAGTATCATCGCACTGTTTCAGGATAAACAAACACGTAACTCACTCCTCGGTGAAGTCTAGGTACAGTATCATGCTTAAGCTAATCCAGTTGTGTAGGAAAAGTGCAGTGCTTTAGTTCTGGAAGATTTCATTCTGGCAATGTATTCTCTGGTAAGGGAAGGGAGTGCTAGCTGACAGACTCAAAGCAAACCTGTTGCTGGCCAACTAAAGAAAAAAAATGTATTTATAGGAAACTGCTTATCATTCTCTTAGCAGGAACTAAGATCTGCCATTACTGAGTGGAAGAATCAGGGACATTAAAAAACACCCAAAACCACAGTAATGCAGTTATTCATTTCACTGACTGTTTTATTGAATTTGGGCTTGTTAGTATTCAATTTACTGTTGGCATCATAAGGTGTGTAGGTTTGACAAGGCATTCCACGAGGCAGTTTTTACAAGAGCAGAATCCACTGCTGAGTTTTGTTAAAGGTTCTGGAATTTTGCCAAGTAACTCCTACTGACCTTAATGGGAATCATACAGATCTATCCCACAGACTTTACCCCATACACGTCCTTCAGGCAAGTGTGTAAAATAATCAGTGAACAGAGCAATCCTTGCTTAGAAATATAAAAGTTCATCAGGGGACGGCCACAAAGTAACAACCAAATACATCAAACTAAGCATGAAATTAAAGACGGGGGGGGGGGGGGGGGGGGAAAAAAAAAAAAAAAAAAAAAAACCATGAAGAGGAATTTACTATTTGTAAAACCAGCCGCTGAAATCTAGAATAGGAAAGGTTTGATTTTTTTTTTTTTTTTTTAAAAAAGCTTCTTCTCTTCCCTTTCAAGGTACTTGGTACCACCGGCCCCTCCCCATATTTGGTCCTGCTGCCTCCTCTCCACCCGAAGGTCACATCTTCCCCTTTGCTCACTCATGCCTTTCCACGACACTGCTCTCTGATTAATACACATAAAGTTCTCATTTGCCTTCTCCCTTACAATACCTACCTGTTATATCATTCAATTACTATGGCCCTGCCGCTGTTTCTATATCGTAACGTATGCTACTGTTCTGCATTGCTCCCGACCGATTGTGCCTTTAAACTCTAAATCCGCAGGGCTGGGACTTGTTTGGCACAACTCTCTTGTTCCCCATTACTGCCTATATCTTGGATGCTATAAATAAATAATCGTCATCACAAAAGTCTAATACACGAATAGAAGAGTTCCTGCACCGGAGATGTGTAACTAGCTTCCCTAGTGTTGTTCTATGATCTAATGATGTATTAACGGTAACCTATATGTATGTAGCTGAAGGCAAATAAATCCCAGATCTCAAAAAATAGGCAAACATCTATGTTGTAGCAAACAGACAAAAACCCAAGGGGAATGAGTTTTAAAGAAAGAAATCAGAGGCAGAGCTGATCAGTGCCTGGGCGGAACTCTACTAGCTGGCTATCAGGAAAAACAGGGAGATTAAGAAATTGTATTTCTATGATATCATCCTCCTCGTATGCATACACTTTGCATACTGCTCAGGTGGGCAGTATTTCTGAGGGATGGAAATATTGCTGATGTAAGAGGAGAAAGCCTAGAAGTTCAATTCTCTTGGTTGTTCTATTCAAAGGCAAAGCAAGTTTTATGAACCTAGCACTGCTCAGATGCATGCTCTGACAGCTGGACCTAAAGGGCTTAAATCCAGGCCCACTGGAGTCAGTGAGAAAACTCCCATTGACTTTAGTGGGGTCAGAATTTTACCCATGGAGTAGCTCTGTTAGCTCAGACCAGCTGAACTTTAATGGATTGCCAATAATTCTTTATACTCTTCATCATCTAAGTCACGTCTACACTCTGAGTTGTAACACCATGAGCTGGGTGCCAAATGCAAAATTTTCTACACTCATATGTGAGATCACTGAAAAGTTATTCATGGCAATTAACGTACTACAGGAATTGGATTCCACAGTACTAACAGAATGAGCTAAAGGATTTGTCTTATTTCAGATATGCTCATTGATTTCCTGGTACATACAATATGTGGATGCCCTGGATTCATGCATAAAGCACATCTCACACCATATCCATCCCTCTGATGCATGCTGAAGAAACAATCTTATTCTTCACTTGGCAGCCTCCTCCAAGACTATAAAGTGAAGTCACTCTGGCTTCTAGGGGAGTTTGGAAAGGGAATCAGTTTGAAACTTTCTCTGTCACCCCCAGGCTAAGAATCAATACCACAGTACTACCGTTCCTTCACCTCCCATTGACTCAAGGTGCAAGGACCAGATTCAGTGGTATACCTGACTTCTTTGTGCCATGCCACTGATGCAAAGCAGTATGTAAATAGCTGTACACATACACTTATATAATTTCACATTTCTTTTTCTTGACTATACATTCATTGTAAACCGATGTCTTCCATGGAGCAAATACATTGTGCTATCAACCATGCTTCCAGCATGGCTCCAAGAAGCTCTCTAAATTTGTCTGCAGTATATTTTGCATGAGCACATGCATGTGGCAGATGCATGAAACATATGAAGTACAATATAACAGTGCTGCACGCAAACATTTAAAGCAACTCTTGTATTAAAAGGATACAAAAAAACCCAATCTTAAAATTTCTTGGCAACACTGTATCAACCTACAGATAAACTTTTTAGGAGGAAAAATCATGTATTTTAAGCTCTCACTAAATTATAAAACTACATCAATAATTCTCCCTAATCTCCTTTTCCATACTGCTATGATGACAGTCTTATCATAAAACAGTCTGTTATTGCAGTGTGGGCAGCTTCCTTATCTTTCAGTGTCCCAAGAAGAAGGAAAAGGGGAAAATTTAACATATTTACCTTCAAGATGGGAGCCATGAAGACTGACACACCAGTGAGAATGAATACAATGATTCCAGTGACTCTCTGCTCCCTGAAACCAAATCAGACAGTTACTCGTCTAGCTCCTGCTTTAACCTAGGTTTCATTCTCTGTTCAACTCTCCATAAAAACAAAACAAAACAAAAAACAAAACACCAGACTCTAACGATTAGTTTTTGAGGCCAGATTTTCAAAGGTGGGTGGCAATGGTATGGCCAGAAACATCATGCACACACATTGAACACGCACACTGTTTGCTAATGCAAAAAACATGTATTTGCATGTTTGTCCAATTGCCTGATTTGTGGGTGCAGCAGTTTGCACCCAACTTTGAAAACCTGGCTCCTTTGAAAATGGAGACTATTCCCAGAGTGTCATTTTTACTCAGATAGCTAAACAACAAACAAATTACTGGCAAATCAGTAGGATGTTACAAATCAATTTTGGGGGAACATGTTTGAAAGTGTAATGTCACAAGCCATCAACGGGCAGGCTAAATTCTTTGTACGTGATTGGCAGCGGTGGCTCCAGGCACCAGCGCTCCAAGCGCGTGCCTGGGGCGGCAAGCCGCGGGGGGCGCCCTGCCTGTCCCTGCGAGGGCAGCAGGGAGGCAGCCTTCGGCGGCTTGCCTGCAGGAGGTCCCCCGGATTCAGTGGCAATTCGGCGGCGGGTACGCCGAAGCTGCGCGACCGGTGGACCTCCTGCAGGCATGCTGCCGAAGGCAGCCTGCCTGCCCTGCTTGGGGGGGCAAAAAAGCTAGAGCCGCCCCTGGTGATTGGCAATGTGTGTTATACGCGTATCAATGATAAATCATTGGCTACTGATTCATTAGTTGGTGGCATATTTTGAATCCTCGTCTAAGAAGGAAACCACAATTTTGTATGCTGGTCAGCACACTTACAGAAGAAAGTCATGCACTATTGGTCTGACTTTCTATGGAAGTGCTGAGCGTCTGCACTTCTCATTGCCCTCAGGGGGAGCCAGGGTTGCTCAGCAAGTCTGAAAATACACTGGCCAACATTTTCGAGTATGTAAAGTTAGGTACCTAAATTCACATTTAAGCACCTAGGTAAGTGGCCTGAATTTCAGATGCACAGCTGCTCCGGCTAAAGTCACTTAAGGCCACTCAGTCTGGGTACCTACATATTGCATTAAATTGCTGGATTAGGTAGAGCTGGTTGCTTTAGGCGCCACAAGTTTGATTTTTTTTGGCCACTGAATTTCTTCATGTACATCTGTCTAATTTCCAATTACAAAATTATCTGTAATGACATTGTCCACTTTCTCATCCTCAGAAAGCCTGCTCTTATCATTACAGATCAGCTTTTCAAAGCCACCCAGGGAAATTAGCCACACTCCTCTGGGAGTTTTGTGGCCAAGTCTCCTAGTCAGTTTTGAAAAATCTCAGCCTACATATTTCACTCTCAAAGCAGTGAAAAACAATATACAACTTTTATTAAAAGTTTCAGTCTCTCTCTCTCTCTCACACACACAAGTTTTAAGACAACTTTTTTCCCTTTTAGGAAACAACTCTGGAGAGGATCTACTCAATACAAACTTCTAAGCGAATACAAACAATGAGGACTAAAGGAGTTCTGAGGAAATCTCAGCTAAGCTGAAAATGTGCTGTAAATCTGACATCTCTTCCCCTTGAGTCTCTCTGCCTTTGCCCTGTTTGGTGCTAGATCACACTGATCTTTGCATGCAAACAAGGCCGCTTTTGGTTTGCCGTACCTCACTCCCAGAAACTTGGGTTGTTCTCCAGGTGCTGAGGTCTCAGTCTCCATCTTCAAGCTATCGATGTGGGCAATGGAGATCACAGTAGCAGCAACGTACCAGGGCAGGGCCATGAAGGAACATATAATCATCAGAACAGCCACCCAAAACAAATCCAGATGATAGCCAGCACCTTTCTGTGGAGGAAGACAGGCAAGAAACATTCTAGTATTCAGCTAATCATCAAACGTTTTAGAGCACCAGGACCTTCTCATAGTTCTAGACTGATGGTAATTGGACACAAATCATCTTGATCAGAAGTTAGCAGAGTATGACCTGATGACCTTCAGAGGCTGAATTATCAATGTACACAGGTATATATTACAGTGGTGGGTGACTTAACAAATAAAGGGGGTAGGCAGCCTTGTGAGGAAGAGATCAAAATTGCAGAAAGTCCACCAGTAATTAATTGATCACCATATATACAAAACATGCACATATACTATATGCGGGGAGGGGAGTTCAAGCCCACCAACCAGCAAAATAATTCCATACAAAGGGTATTAGTCAAATCAAACTATGGGCTGAGAACAGCTACAGAAAGTAATACAAACTGGCAAAAATTAGACTGGATGCACACTGAATCTTGGCAGGAATGTAAACTATCCAAACAATATTATGTTCAAGTACTAAAAATATATACATTTCCTGGGTATAATCTTGCAGGGTATTTCAAAGCAGCTCTAGACTGTCCGTTCTTTTACTTGGTAATACGCCCTTTTAAAAAAACCACCCCCCAAACACACCATTGTATAGTGCTATTTTTATAGTTAACTGTCCCCCTTACTTTATTAGCTATTGTGTTGACAAGGAAATCACATGCCCAAGACCCCTGCAAAATTATCTGTAATGACATTGTCCACTTTCCCATCCTCAGAAATTCTACTCTTATCAATCACATGTCCAAGACCCCTACAAAATTGCAGCAGTGTCTTAGAAAAGAGAATGGTCCATTTGCACCCCATGAGATTGTTATGGCAACAAGAGAACTTGGAAAGTGCTGCGACATGGAGCAACTACCTAAAAAGCAAGATAGTGGTTTATAAGGGAGAGTTAGCTGTTATCCTACAGACCCAGTTACAACAGGGCATTTCTCTAGACACAGCAGAAGGCCAAGAGTTATATCCTGCTTGTGCATATGGGTCTAGTCCAGGGGTGGGCAAACATTTTGGCCTGAGGGCCACATCGGGGTTCCGAAACTGTATGGAGGGCCGGGTAGGGAAGGCTGTGCCTCCCCAAACAGCCTGGCCCCCGCCCCCTATCTGCCCCCTCCCACTTCCCGCCCGACTGCTCCCCTCAGAACCCCCGAACCATCCAACCCCCCCGGCTCCTTGTCCCCTGACCACCCCCTCCTGAGACCGCCGCCATCCAACCTCCCCTGCTCCCTGTCCCCTGACTGCCCCAACCCCTATCCACACCCCCGCCCCTTGACAGGCCTCCCGGGACTCCCATGCCTATCCAACCCCCGCCACCCCAGTTCCCCCTCCCCTGACCACCCCACCCACCCAGAACCTCCGCCCCATCCAACCGCCCCCTGCTCCCTGTCCCCCAACTGACCCCCAGGACCTCCTGCCCCTTATCCAACCCCCCTGCTCCCCGCCCCCTTACCATGCCGCTCAGAGCAGCAGGACTGGCAGCCACGCCGCCCGGCCGGAGCCAGCCACGCTGCCGCGCTGCCTGGCAGGAGCTCACAGCCCCGCTGCCCACAGCGCTGGCAGCGCGGTGAGCTGAGGCTGCGGGGGAGGAGGGACTGGGGGCTAGCCTCCCTGGCCAGGAGCTCAAGGGCCGGGCAGCACGGTCCCACGGGCCGTAGTTTGCCCACCTCTGGTCTAGTCATGATCACAGAGACCACATTTACAGGAAAGCCTCAGACACAACGTCAATTAGTGTGAAGGTGAATGCAATGCTGAACAAATATCTGCAGGAATGAAATGACTCATTATTTGGAAATCCGTCATAGAAACGAAGGCCCCAAATCATCCGTGCGCTGGATACATTACATGCATTTTCTCCTTCTTGGGCTCGTGTGTTCTGATTTACAAAGCATCCACAAATCCCATTTGTGGAGTACTTCTTTAGGAAGGAGATAGTTATTCATAATACAAATTCCACACATCCATCCACATAATGGAAGCCCTTACTCCTTGCAAAGATCCTTTCATCTGATATTAACTATGACGGTGTCTTTTTTTTGAAAAGTCACCCCCAGCTAGCTTAAGTGACACCCTGGACATCACAAAGCTTTAGAAACCCAGGGTACCCCTTAATAAAACCAGTCCACAGCTTAACATTAGTTTTAAGAACCTATTGTGAAATAAGTATGAGCATAATGACTTACTAAAGTCTACCTGACAGCACACACAAGCTAGAAGGGTTATCAAAGCCAAACAGTGCCAAAAGTCAATGTTTACCAACAGTTATCACACTGTGGTATCGAAGATCCTGTACTTAGAACAGGAAGCAAGTGCAGGATTTTAGTGACTGCAGTGGGAAAATGTTGACTTCATAAATGGCCACCACGGTACTTTATTTTTATGAACCGCCTTCAGATTTGTGTACTGTTGTTTGAGATTTTCAAAGCAATCTAGGGGATCATTAATTTTAAAGGGAGGATGGTGTCCAAATTCTCCAGGCTGCTTTAAAATCTCAATATGCGGTCTTCTAATAACTTGATGAAATTGCTTTGGAAATTGAAATTGAGAAAATTATTGGTATACATAAAGAGCAGGCAGACTAAGAGGGCAACAGAAAAAACTCCAAATCACTGAACCACAAGGGGTGAGACAGGAAAGGAGGGAGCATTATTAAGAACGGAATCTAAAAAATTTCATATTTTGAAGATTAGATGTTTTAAGATCTGTTAAATTTGAGTTTATTAGCAGTAACAGGTGAGTCAGACCTGCTGAGTGATGTTCTAGCAGGGAAAGATACCTGGCAAGACCTGAATTCTGTCCATTGTTTTCCTACCACTTTACCTTGGTTAACAGGCCAGCAAAATTCAGTCTGCTAGTCAGTGATGCGCTGCCAAGGCACTCTCACGAAAACTGTCCCCACTTTAGCCTGCCAGTAGATTTTATGTACCAGGGCCATGTTTGCTGCTGAGGAGCAGAGAGGGACTACAAATCCATTCATTTCTCTCCCCCCGCCATTTAAACAAAACATGTTCTCATAACCATAACAAAGGAAGCAGGAAACAAACTTTTACATTAAACAGCACTTTGGTCAAAAGTTTATACTTTGTTACTGGAAAAAATATACAGTGTGTTGCTAGAAAAGTAGCGTTCAGTTTGTATTAAACTGAACTCAAGTTGGCGTGGAGGTGTCGACTTTGCAGAGAGGGATGATAGGAATTCTTCCCCGGCAGTTTTTTTTTTTTTTTAAATACCTGCCTATTAGATTCAATCTACTCAAAAGCAAGAGAAAATTTATCTCTTCAGAGACACTTTAATGAGCCCAGGGATGTCTCTCCAGCAGTAGCCAGAATAAGTGTGTCTGTCAGAGGCAGGGAGATTACCCCAACTTTCCCTTCAATTTGGTGGGAGAATTTTAATGAGCTCCGAGGAGAGAGAGCCCCCCACTCACCCACAGCATATCACTGCTAGTCATCATTTAAGTGGTAAACAACAACTTCACCGGGAAATGTACAGGAAACCAAAGAGCCTGAATGACCAATACTGCTGAGACATTAGTCCTGAGGAGGAGATGGACACCACCAATAAAAGGATACCGTTTTCAGTCATCCACTGCCTCCCTGAGGCTTACTCCTAATGGAGATAAAATGGCTACGTTTGTGAAGCTGCATAAATGCTGGGTTGGCGAGAAGAGACACCGTCTGAAATGGAGGCTATGGAAAGGAAGTTCACAATTGTGGGTGAGGAAATAAGCCCCCTGCAAAATGCATATGGACGCGGATTCTACCTTTTGGTGGATCTTCCAGAAAACTGTTTGTACAGTTCATGGCTGTACCTAGCCTCCATATTCACTTTCTTTTTATGGTGTTCTTCTAATTAAGGTTAAAGAAAGGCTTTAACCTTTAGGAAGCTGTGTGAAGAATAATAATACATGGATGGCCTGGAATAAGATGAACTAGGACTGATGTTCACCTTGCTAAAGAAATAAGGAGTCCAGAAGTATATTTTATGCCAATCTCAGCAGTCAGCCAGCATTTCTTGATCCAGATCCCAATCAAAGGCAATCTTTTAATAAAAAACAAAACAAAACAAAAAAACACCTTTCCCTTTCCCCTATTATTCAAACCCACTCTTTGAGGTCAATTTCAGGTTGATCTTAAATCTTCATGTGTTGTGAAATAATGCCAATCGTTACCATATCATGGTAATTATATTATTTATTAGGTTCACACCTAAATAATGACCCCAATATAACCCTCATTATGAATCAGTCTTTATTCCTACATTCCAGCCCTTTTAAAATGCCTCCCGTCCTGCAGAAGGGAGAATCCTTTTTACAGGAACTCAATATTATTCAATGGAATTCATCCTGCAGGGCAGGCAAAACTCTGTAGGGTATGAGAAACTGTAAAGGGCCAGTTTAGAGCGTTTATTTAAAAAATATCATTACATACCATATTGTGACTATATTAGTGACTACAAAGTTCTTTAAAGAACATTCATAAACGGGCAACTGAGGCTACTTTCCTTATTGATTCTAATTAAAGTCTCTTCACTTTCTTTCCTTGTAGTCTACTGTGCAGTTAAACAAAAACAACAACAAAAAATCAACTGTCACACTGGGGTCTGCCTGTTGGCATTTCCAGTCTAGAGTGGATTTACCCCACTATCTCATCACCCCAAAGTCTCTGAGGCCTAGATTCTTAATATCAGACAGTCAGACCAACATGCTGAGTTCACTCAGGTGTAACAGTTATACAAACAAACCTTGTTTTGCATATTGCTTAAAGCGATCGATCAGTGATTTCCTTGTACGATAACCATGCTATTAAATATATATTAATAGGGGCTTGTCAAATCTACAGAAACTTTGCTCATTTTGATAAGGCAAGAGAAACCCTGACCCTTATGCTGTAATAAAAACAAAACAGTCAAAGCAAAAATCAGCTCCAGTCTAAGGTTCCAGCTTTAAGGATCCTTTCACTTGAGAGAAAGGCGGCTTTACAATGAACAAAACCCCCTATGCATGAGCCTACCAGCAAGCATAAGGTCAGGTAGGCACGGTGGTATCCTCAGCTCTATCCACTGGATTCTAGTTACTGCTCAGTTAATTCACATCATCTTCCCATCTGAAATGGTCAGACGGGGGATGTCAGCGACAATAATTAGAGCTGTACAAGGGTATTCATACTGAATCTCGGACCCACCCATATGGAGCCGGTCTTCAGGGTTCAAGGTGCTCCTCCAGCATGGTGCCAAGAGGCTTACACAGCAGAAAAATCTGCACACCCCGCTCTGTCTCACTATTATACATGTTTCTAATGTGCCATAGGATCCTCTCTCAGCTGGCTTCCCTCTCAACAAGCCCCAGAACCCTCCGACTCCCAATCGCCATCACCTGGTGGGCCCAGTGCCTCTCTCTGATGGGTCACCCTATGGCCACTCCCTGATCTTGTAAGTACAGGGGGTGACAGAGGCCCACAGGGCAGAGCCAGTGTCCTGTCATCCCTTCAAACTCTAGGATTTACTGAGTTTTGTAGCCTAGAGGTCAGGATTTGGCATGACAACTAACCCCTGCCCTCTACCCATCACACACACATAGGGCCATGGGAAGAGGAAAAGAGTCCCTTCTTCCAGTGGCTGCTCCCCAAGAAAAGCAGCAGCCACCGAGAAGACTTAGTGTGGAAACTCAGGGACCCTAAGTCATTGCTTAGTTGCCACACATTAGGCAGGGAAGTCCCAGGGGCTAAGGAAGTCTTAGGCCTGGTCTACCCGGGGGGGGCGGGGGGGGTGGGGGGGGGGGGGGTGAATCGGCCTAAGATATGCAACTTCAGCTACAAGAATAGCGTATCTTACATATCTTAGGTCGACTTACCTCACGTCCTCACGGCGCAGGGTCAACTGCCGCCGCTCCCCCGTCGACTCCGCTTCCGCCTCTCGCCGCGGTGGAGTACAGGAGTAGACGGCAGAGCGATCGGGGATCGATTTATCGTGTCTACACTAGACACGATAAATCGATCTCCGATAGATCAATCACTACCCGCCGATCCGGCAGGTAGTGTAGACGTACCCTTACAGGGCAATGTAGCTCTCTGGTCTTAATGAAACAGCCACTCTGGTGGGTGGGACAACCCCTGCCCTGTGGGACAACAGGGTCAGATTATTTCTTGAGCCCTTCCTCACATGACTCTGGGAATCTGGGGGGGGGAGGGGGCGAGAGTCCTTAAGATACAAGATGGGGGGTGCAACCCCCCAGTATCCCTTGAAGACACACGAAGAAAGCCAGCCACCACCACAAAGCAGCTTCTTCCTCTTGAAGACAGCAACAGTCAATAGCTTCTCTGGGGAGGGAAAGTTGTCAATCAGCGGCGGCCAGAGAGAGGGCTTAGCTAGTGACTAGCTTGATTAGCTTCCCGCCCATGAGGTGAGCAGCTGGGTCCGACCCCTGTGACGCAAACAGCAGTTTAGAAACACCCCCACGGACCACACCCCACAGGTTTCACGAATCTCTCATGCAGGGATCAGCGTGGGGCTGGCATTGATTCACTATCTGTATTTCTTGCTGGAAAAAAATAAAAAGGAAAGTGAACTGGAAATCCAGGAAGGCAGCAGTGCAGCCATGCTGGCAGAAATCCTATCCTCCAAGGTGCCTTTTGATGTCACAGTCGGGAATGCTTCAGAGGGATGAATGGTAGGTATTGGCAACACTGGTTCAACCATGTTGTAGTCAGCCAACCCTCAGCCCGGGCATCTTTGAGTCTCTTGCCCCCACTCCTGAGCAATCTTATTGTTCCTGGCAGGAGCCCAGCTCACTCCCAGGACTCTTTCAGAGCCCAATTTACAATCCCCTTGTCCCTAGCCCCTGGCAGTGCTTCCCAGTACCCACCTCAGGGCACTGCTGGATGCAGCCCTCCAGAGCCTTTGCTCATACCGAGCTTGAGTGTCTGTCTGCCTCAAAGAGGGGGCTTGAAGGAAAAGATTAGCAACTGCCTCAGGCTGAGCTCCCTTGTTACTGGAGCTCGCTAGCAGACCCTGGCAGCTACCCCGTTCCAAGGAAAACAAACCCCCATCTCTGCAGCCACTCGCACCCTTTTAAGCCCCACTTCTTCAGATGGAGCGGGTTCTGTCAATGTGCCTAACTGGCACTGCATAACTGCAGGAATGCGCATTAGCCTTTCCACCAGAGGGATGGTGTGGGTCTCATCACATACGTCTCAAAGGCTAAGTGGACACCATACTTCTATCTTGCATATTCACATCAAATGAGATAATTAGATAAGGTCATGGAGGATAGATCCATCAATGGCTATTAGTCAAGATAGTCCAGGACACAAAACCGTACTCCAGGTGTTCCTAAACCTCCCGTTGGCAGAAGCTGGGACTGGACAACAGAGGATGGATCACTCAAAAGTGTCCTGATCTGTCCATTCTATCTGAAGCATCTGGCACTGGCCACTGCCAGAGACAGGATACTGGGCTAGATAGACCACTGGTCTGACCCAGCATGGCCGTTCTTATGTTCTTAAGCATTTTCTTTTCCTTCTTCAGCATATGGGTACTGGAAAATCTCACAATTCTAACTGGCTTACTGGAAAACCAGGGAGCGGCAAGTGAAAAAGGAGCAGCAGCAGCACCCCGGCCCCAGCACCTCCTGGTGTGACGCACAGATTTGAGTACCCTTCCTCCCCCTTTTCTTCAAATCACAGAGTCCTGCAGAACTATCAAGGCCAATTTATTCTGTCCTCAGACTGAAAAAATCTTTCTGTGATAAAAGGCCTTTTTCGACCCTTCACCAGACAAGGAATTGAAAACTCAGCTGAGACCAGCTCTGTTAGAAATTACTGCTATTCCCCCAAGCTCCTGGCTGAGCTCCAAGCTAGTAGGGGCTGGGGATTTGAGGACGTTCAGCTCCGGGTGGGAGGAAATGCTTTTTACTACCTCTTGCCAACTCAGGGACCAGTGCGGATGGATTCTGGAATGAGCTTTGTTTACCCTCCCTCTGCCACAGGAACTGTCTACCATAGACGTCTAGTACTGCTGAGAGCACTACTGCAGACAGAGAGGCCAGTTTCAAGCAGTCAGTGCCCCCTTTTGTTAGTTAAAGATGAATTCGGAAGAGTTCTCACCTTATGTATCTGCCCCGTTCACCTGCACCTCACTTGCTAACCCAGGGGACAGCAAACAGCAGGTGGAAACAATGAGCCATCTCCCCCAAAACTCTGACCACTAAATCCAAGGAGAAACACCTTTACAACAGGGATGGGCAGCTTCCTGTGCTCTGCTGTTGTGCTCTATCTGCAGGACACACCAGTGTGCCCAACTTAAGTTAAGAAGGGCATCCCATGCAGGGAAAACCATTTTTCTTCTCTCTATTGTTCTCCTAAGTCCCCCTCTGTGTTGCTTTGTCATCTTTTCCTTTCGTGCCATGGCAGTGGTGCTGAAAACCAATGAGACAGCACTAGGAGCAGAAGCCACAGGTGAGAATTTTTGGAATAACTGATTCACATGTGAAATCTAATAGCCTTTTTTCCCATTACTTGGGAGTTTGTTCGGTTAACAGTCCACTTCCTGCAGGGAGAGGGTCAAGGTATCTCAAGCCTTACTCAGGGCTGTTTTAAGATGTACCGTGTTCACACTTGGGGAATCAAAGGTGGGTGTAAGCAAAAGTATCTGCTCACAGCATAAGGCTGCTCTAATTTGTAGTGATTAGAGCGGCTCCCTAGGGATCTCTTTGCAAGCCAAGCAGCAGGAGGAGTGCTGTGTGGATAAGCCTGACAAGGCCCCTACTCCAATGGCGGGAGGAGTATGTGGCTAGCAATGATCATGCCGGCGTTATGCCCTACAAGGATTCCCTGCACTGGGGCCTTTGGTGATGGCCAAGGATCTGGTCCTCGGGGTTTATTCCATCCTCACTCAGAAAGAATGCCTATTGAAGTCAAAAGGAGTTGTGACAGAGTAAAAACATCAGGATCTGGCCCACCGCCTGTGTCCTTTGCTTTAACAACAAGCGTTGATCGAGAAATACTGTCGCTTTCAAGCAGAAGTGATGTCTTTGCTTTCAAATCTGGAAGAATAATCTGTGCTAGAACAAAATACATGCTATTACTAAATACCAATCTTAGTATTTCAAAGGGAGCAGGTGCCCATTACCACCACAGGCTCTCTCTCCGACTCTGTCACGGAGAGGATAGGCTCTACTTTGCTGCACTCATGCAAGGTACAAGGCACCCACCTTGAGCTTGTGCTCTTTCCTGTTGACGATGACGGCTGTGATTTGCTGGTCCATGAAGATGAGAATGGTCACAAGCAGCGCAGGGATGGCTGCTGCAAGGTACACCCACCAGGGGTTCCCTCCGAAGGGTGGGACGAACCAGCCTCTGTGGGGACTGGTTGGCTTCAAGCGGAAAGACAGGAAAACAGGCATCAGAGTGGCGACATGTTAACGACCTCCCCCCCAACCAAAGCATGTTTATCCAGGCAGCAAAAGGACCCAAACACTAATATGTCAAGCTGACTAAAGGAAGATTCCTGAGGACACTGACAATTTGGGATTAATTCTTCCCATATACGAACGTCAGTTGAAGTTTAAAACCTGGAAGTGGTTATTAGGGGTCAGATTCTGCCATCCTTGTTCATGTTGAGTAGCAGCACTCTCTTCAAGTAGTCCTGGTGGTCCAGATTGTGGAGTGTCTCTCTCTCTCAAGCAGATTCAAGCACTGAAAGCAGTGAAACTACATGGGCGAGTGAAGGCTCACCGGTGTGAGTAAGCAGGGCCGGCTTTAGCAGGTGTGGGGCCCCACACCAGGGACGCGAATTGTCTCGCGCCCCCTCCCTGCCCCACCTCCGCCCCCTCCCTGCCTCATTGGATCCCTCCCCAAATCCCCGCCTTGCCCCCCCAGCCCCACCCACTCCCTGCCCCCATTGGATCCCTCCCCAAATCCCCGCCTTGCCCCCCCCAGCCCCACCCACTCCCTGCCCCCATTGGATCCCTCCCCAAATCCCTGCCCTGGCCCCGCGTCTTCCCCAAGCACGCCGCATTCCTCCTCCTCACCCCTCCCTCCCAG